CCAATCCTCCTCCTTTTTTTCTCCCCAAAGCCCCAGTAGATAGTTGTATGTCACAGTTGCACATCCTTCTAGTTGCCGAGCATTTTAAATGAAGACTTTGAATAGTCTATAAATCAGCAGTGGTCATGTCAGCTGCGAGGAGAGAACGCAAAGATGGTTAGAGAGGGAAATTGAAGGTTTGGGATGGTCTTTAAGTGGAAAAAGGGAAGCAGAGGTAAATAAAATAAACTAAAAATTAAACTAAACTAAAAAAAGAAAAAATGGCATTTGAGCATGGACTTTGATAATAAAAATATCCTAAATTTAATTAGATCTGAAACCAGTATATTTTTGAAAACCATTATCTTCCTTGAATGAGACACTAACATGTTTTTTTAATATTAAAAGTCTACTGATTTCTCACTGTATATTATTCATTCTTATGTTGATGCAATACAAGTTTATTGTTACCAGGATATAGAGTCTATTTTCTTTGAAAGGCTCAATGAACTGTTTACTTTTAGCTTATTGTGTGTCAGATATCTAAAACTATGCTTAACCACTTCCTCTTGGAATTTAATGCTTTGTTTGCAAACTTTAAAAAAATTAAAATCAGAAATATCTGTTATTAAATAAAAAGAAATTTCACATTTTGTACACTATTTGCTCCACAAAAAAAGAAACTTTGATGAATTTTTAAGTGAAAATTAAATAACATGATATATACTTACAACTTCAAATCTTATATCAAAACAGTGGGTATCACTGTCAATATTTTACAGTAAAACACATTCCAGAAAATAATTTTTCAAATTTCTCACCCTACACACCCATTCACTTAAAAGAGATTTCTGATAGGCATTGAGTGATGATTGATTTTTTTTCTTTTTAAAAAGAAACTGTTGTCATGGCAGGCAAACAGTTTATTGGCTTCTCTCTCATAATTCCAGGCCCCAAAAGCACTATTCAGGATTAATGTTTTGCGGAATGAACAATTAATACCTGAGCGACTGAACATTCACTAGATTCAAGCATAAATAGAGAGAGCTCAAAACAATTTAAAGGTCAGTCTACTTTACTTGAGTAATTGTAACAAAATTTCATTTTTTATTAAATGCTTTTCAAAATTATTTAAATATTAAAAGGTACCTGGAAAGAATGCTAAGCTCCTCATCCAGCTCTTGAGATGTCGAGTTTCTTCCAATTTCGAACGGAGATAGTTTGTCCTACTGGGGCACCTGTAAGGAGAGGCCGGTCCATCTTCCTTGGGATTGGCTGTTGCCGTGGCTACGCTTTGTTTGGAGGCTCTGGGAGCTGTCTTCCAACCCAGCCGAGGGATTTAGCTGCTGGTGGGTGAGCCGGGACCCCTCAAGGTCGAGGTTCGTGTTGCGGGAGGCGAAGCAAGGCTGTGGGAGCGCAGGCGGAGCCGGGACCGTTTCCCCGGAGGCCAGGCTTTCGGGCAAACGGGGGGCCCGAGGGGGCGGCTGCGCGAGTCTGCGGAGCTCGAGGCTCCCTTCAGTTTTGGAGATTTTTGGTAGCTCACTCAAAAATTGAAGATCCACCTCCCTGCCGACCTAGGGAGGCTTCGCTGGTTTCTCTGCCCACCCCCGACACTTCCCTCCCTCCCTTCCTTTTTCTTTCTTTTTTTCGTATATAATTTATGGTTACCTTTAAAAGTAGATTTCCCTCTCTTTACAGTGGTAAAGGGTGGAATTCCTTAAGATTTTCCACTTTGGGCAGCTTTAGCCCACTCCGAGTGATTTATTGTCAACTTGAAGTAGTTTACTGTAGCCCGTTTACAGTGGGGTCCATCTAGGGCTGCACTGTCCTGTCCGGTAACCCCCAGCTACAGGTGGCTATTGAAATGCAGCTGGTCCGAATTGAAATGGGCTGTGTGTAAAATACACATCAGATTTTGAGGAATTAGTATGCACAACAAGAATGTAAATTTTTACTTTGATCTTAAAAATGAGTATTTTTTAAATATTGATTACATGTTGAAATATTTTGGCTATATTAGGTTAAATAAAATATATTATTAAAATAATGTCACCTGTTTCTCTTTACTTTTTGAAAAGCTGCTACTAGAAAATTTAAAATTACATATGTGCTGTGTAATTAGGGCGGATCTAAAGAGCAAGTAGGTGAGCAGAGAGGGGCATATGATGGAAATGACTCTTACCTTTACCTTATTCTCCTGCCTTTCTTTCTACATAAAGTTCTGTGTACCTGTGCATTCTGCTTTATAGCTACATTTAAAAAAATCAAATTTTCCAATAAAGCTTTTGAATTGCACTTTTACGTTTGAATACAGGATAGCATTTTGCGCTGGTTCTGCTGTTTTGTTTTGCTTTGTTTTCCTTTGTGGGAGGGAGGTTGTGGGTAAAGTTGAATATTTTTAAACTAGCTTTTAAAATAATAAAAGTAGTACATATTCATGATAAAAAAAAAATCACTCAACACAAATGTATGAAATGAAGATTAAAAGTTCCCCAATTTCTTCCAGAAAGTTTCTGTGTCTAAAAAAGTGTGTGTGTGTGTGTAGTTACACAAAAGAAATGTTGCTCTGCATATTCTTCTACCATTTGCCTTTTTTTCAAGTGTTCCTTCTTGGCTACCTCTCCACAGGAGTACAGTAAGTGTACGCATTTTTTAAAGGACTTGTATAGTGTTCCATTCTATGGATGCATCATATTTATTTGTTTCTTAGTGAGTACTTAGGATATTTTTAATTAAATTTTTGTTGAGGTAATTGTAGATTCACAATCAGTATTAAGAAATAATGCAGAAATGCCCCTTGCACACTCTGTTCACTGTCTCCCAATGGTAATATTTTGTAAACTATAATATAATATCACACCCAGGATATTGACATTGATACAATCTATTGATCTTATTCAGATTTCCTCAGTTTTACTTGTATTCATTTGTGTGTGTATTATATTATATATAATTTTTATCATCTGAGTATGGCTCACTTATGCACTACCACAATCAAGATACGGAATAGTTCCAACACTACAAGAATCTCTTGTGATGCCCTTTTATCACCATAACCACCTTCCTGCAACCCCATCCACTGCCAACTCCTGGCAATCACTAATCTGTCCTCCATTTATAAAATTTCGTCATTTCAAAAATGTTATATACATGGAATCATATAGTATGTTCCCTTTTGGTTTGGGCTTTTTACTCAGCATACTTCCTTGGAGACACATGGAGATTCATCGGTGTTGTGGCATGTATCAATAGTTCCTTCCTTTTATCACTGAGTATTATTCCATGGTATGGATGTACTAGAGTTGGTTTAACCATTCACCTGCTGAGGGACATTTTGGTTGTTTCTAGTTTGGGACTATTATGAATATAACTGTTGTGAATATTCATGTACACGTTTTGGTGTGAACATAAGTTTTCATTTCTCTGGGATAAATGCCCAAGAGTGTAGGAAATATGTGGAGATCAATTCAATTAAATCATTTATGTGTGAAAGAAAGATATGTGATATTTATAACTAGAGGAAAGGCAGGCACAGGCATTGTTTTTTTGGATGGGAATGAACTGATTGTGTTTATGGGGAGAGGGGGCCAGTAGAATAAAATGCATGGCTAGGCAGTAGACAGAAGGAATAGCAGATAGGGCACGGTTCAGTAGGTGAGAAGTTGTCAGAGGTTGTCAGAGCATCAGTAGAGGATCACACTTAGTTAGGAAGAGAGGCTCTCTCCTGGTAAGATGAATAAGAAGAGATTTTAGGAAAATAGAGGTGTTTCATTTTTTCGTTAATTAGACTATAAAATCTATGAAAACAGGTTACTTGTCTTATTTAATCAATGTATTTTTAGCATCGAGCACTGCTGTGAATTCACCTGGTAGGCTCCTAAAAAGTTGATTTTGAGATGAATAAGTAAAGGAAGGAAAAGAAAGAGGAAGGGAGGGAAGGAGGGAAGGAGAGAAGAATAAATGAAGGAAGGAGGGAGGAAGAAGGTGGGAGGGAGGGAAGGAAGGAAGGAAAGGGGGGAGGGAGGGAGGAAGGAAGGATAGGATGAAAGGAGTGGGGAGAGGAAGGAAGAGCCAAGAAGAAGACAGCAGTGGAAAGGCCAGGAACTTAAGGAAAGAATGAAAGTTTGGCAGTCTGGAAAATAAAATAATAGCTGACTAGTAAAGCATTTTTCGAGCATTTTCCCCCAAGACCTACAGTAAAACAAACACATAACAAGAAAATACTACATTGCACCTAATGCACACATGGGTACACATATATATATGTGTATATATATATTTATAAACATATATATGTATACACTTATAATTGAAACAAAAGTTTTTTTCAACAATTTTTGTCTTTAGTATATATGGTATATTATAATTTCCTTTCTGGCCTGTCCTAACTTTTTCTCTCTTAGCCTATCATTAAAACTTGATGATCAAGAGCTACTGAAATTGCTTTCTTGATCCACTAATGGGTTATCATCTGTGATTTGAAGACTGTTGGACGAGGGGATGTTCAGAAGGATCGCTGGGCCAATGAAGAGCTTGACTGAGTTTGGAGACCATTTGCTAGTGGGAAGAGCACTGGCTTTGGAATTAGAATCCTGCCCCAGTTACTTATTAGCATAATGCCCGTAGGCAGTTAAGTAACTTCTTCATACCTTGGTTTTCTCATCTGTACAATAACTATAACGACCTTTAACTTGTTAACTTACTCTGAAGATTATCAATCACACAAGTGTCTTCTAGAGCCTGGCTTGTCACAGATACACAATACATGGAAGCTACTGATGGTGGTTAATGATGATGATGGTTATATGAAGATATACTGTAGTGTACTGCTTAACCCATATCTATTATAAGCATCAAAGATTTAAATGAAATAAATATTGATCTTATAAGCCATATATTATCCGTTATTACAACATGTTACTGTTGATAAAAACTTGTGGCTATCTCTGGTAAAAGTAACAACTCTGAGTTTATGAGTAGAAACTAGCCATGTGTTTCTCCATATATAGACTCAGGTTGTTCTCTTCTGGATATATTAATTTCTGAATATTCAAGCTGTTCAAAGGTATTTTGCCATTAATTATTCCCATGAGGATGAGTTCTACTGTGAAGTTTTTTGGTTCAGGAAGGTAAGCCAGTTTATTCAATGTAACTTTTCCCTTAGAAAATTAAAAGAATATTGTTAGAGTTGGTCATTTTGTCATCAAAAATTAAAGAAATAATGAATGAGAGAGAAAACAAGGTTCTGTAATATATGGTACAACCCTAATAAGGTGTGATAAAAGTTTGTTAAACTAAAACGTGTCTACGTAGAACCTATTGGATTGGTATGACACATTAAGGAACCCATGGCTTTTACTGGCATATTAGCCTCTTCAATTTTCTTTAAATGGTTCTGTGTTTTATTTTGAAGGATGATGGAAGACAACGATGATGATGATGAAAAGCTCAAAGAAGAAATAGAAGCTGAGCTGGAGAAAATCAGCATTTCTTCCTTGGATAAAGATGATGTTGACAGTGATTCAGAATCAGAAATCCAGAGTGATGATAGTGATACAGTAAGTGTTAAATGTTGGACTTTTGAGCCTTTTAATTGGAGTAAGCTTTTCAGGAGAAGTATTACTTTTCTCAGTGTGTTTTGTATACTTATCTCATTTTTCACCTTAGGATCACCTTTAAACAATGTATATTGATAGATATTTAAATATAAAAAGTATATTGCAGATATAAATCACCTATAATTCCACATGTATATATGTGCATTTTTTGCAAAATTGGGATTATACTATGCATGTAATTATGTGTATATATTATAGTTATAGACATATTAATATATAGAGAGAGAGAGACATATATATATATACACACACATAGTCGTGGACCTCATAACAACATTTCAGTCAATGACAGACCGCATATAGGATGGTGATCCCATAAGATTAGTCCCATATAGCCTAGGTGTGGCGTAGGCTATACCATCTAGGTTTGTGTAAGGATACTCTATCATGTTCACACAAAGATAAAATCGTCAAACGCTGCATTTCTTAGAATGTATCCCCATCATTAAGTGACGCATGACTGTATACATATTTGTATCCTGCTTTATTTACTTACTCATGAGCATTCTAATGTGATTAGAAATACATGAAAAGCAAGGTTTATGTAAAATCTTTAGACCTATAGAAATAGTTACTTTTTTGAAATCAA